CTGCAGAAGCTTATATATAGAAATCTAAGTTTTCTGTGCTCCACCACTTTTGTACATATAGAAACGCCACTGGGTAGGCCATCCAGTTATTTTAGCCGGGCCGGCTCAGATGATTGGTCGTGCTTTTCACAGCGCCACGGCTTCCACAGATGACATTTTTTTATGTATTTATTGTCAAAGCATTTAATATATTCATTGCTATCGGGATGTTAAGAGCATTCCATGGAATATAACAACAAGTGTTTCTGAAGTGAATTACCTACCCTACCTTTTAAGGTTGGGGAATAGTACATTAACATGGTTTCCAATCCAAATGTTATAGACTCAAATCCTTTTTCGGCTTGGAAACATGTTTTTCTACACATTTTCTGCATTGTGTTTTGCTAATTAAAAAACTAGTGCAGGGATGAAAGATTAATTACCATCAGTCCTTAAGAAAACTGAGTATTTGGATACAATATTCTAAATGTAACCGGCTAGAGAACCAATTTCTTTGTTGACTCAGTATAGACAACATCCGTCCAAGATCACTCACTATTTTGAAACTCTTCCATACTTTTGTTGTACCAGCTGCCGGGAAAAATCTGTGTCGCATAATGGGAGAAATTTGAGAAAGCGTGAATGCTTGCACAGAGAAATTGTTGTCGTTTAAGATGTTAAGAGTCTCACTATCACTCCTCCTCTTTTGTTACAGCCTTCTAGTCACTGCAGTGGATATTGAAGTGGACTCTGTGGTTTCTACACTTCCTGTAGTATTACTGCATGTTGGTGATTGTTGATGTAAATAGGTTTCTGTGAGTCTCTGGTACAGTATGGCACTGACCCATGAAAAACGTTCCCTCAAGCTTCAGTGTTACCAGATGTGCAGAGAAAGCAGATCACTCCCTCAAGACATGTGTTGTTCCTTAAGGACGGATTGACTTGGATGGTAGAGTCACTCATGTTTCCAATTGATGGGCTAAGAGTCATGATTGAACCGCTTATTGTTGAAAGTGCAGATACCCCAAGGCCTCTTTTGGACCTTGATCTGTCAATCTTTTAGAACCACATAAAAATGAATAAGTCTATTGATAGAAAGGGAGCTTTTTACAAGTGTGAAATGTCACGTTTGTTTCCACCTAGAGCTGCAGCTGCATCCACATGTATCTCTTCAGAACTAAGGGAAGATTTTACGGTTTAGATCTGCTATAAATTGTGGGTTGATGCTTGGAAAATGTATATATTGAAATTCAGGAGGTCATATGTTGAGTTTGCATGCATCCAAAAGGAGGGGAATTCCAGTAGCACATGTGCTGAGCATCTTGGAGAGGAATTTAGAGAGAGATTGGGTAAGCAAGGCTGCAGGTATCTATACTTGTAGTTTTTGAAATGGGGTTAACATTTGTGAAATGCGCCCTAATGACGTATTCCCATGTATGCTGTTGGCATGTCTATGGGATTTGTCCTCATTACTCTTTGCTGTCTGTACTCAGAGGATCACACATGAACATCTGAAGAGGAATTTAAGACTCATTGGTAGAGAAAGTCCTTGAGCGGTGCACTGGTGCAGCTCCAGGAGTTGCCGCTGATATTAAAAGCCCTAACAATATGTTTCAAATGGGATGCAGACAGACAAGTGGCACCCTAAGTGAATTCTTCCCCGACTGTAGGCTAGAATTGTGTGAGCAGGAGCTGCACATTATACATTTTGTGATGATTTATTATTATGTTACTTGCTTTGTTTCATAAAAGTCAACCTGCTTGGGGGTGATTTATGTTCAGCCGCTGGAATGCACTGCATATAATAACACTGGAACAGCACTTTAATGTTGTGCACGCCTTAATATGATGTAGCTAACGGCTTAGGGATAAATAAAGTAATATTAATATTCAGAGATTAGAAATCGCAATCAAATGATTGATTTGTCCCCCTCTCTTTTCTTTATTTTCAATTGACACATTTTATTATTCAGAAAGTGAATAGATCATATCAGAGAGACACTTTATATGTATATGCTTCATCAGGAGTGCAGATATATTTCCTTCCATCTCTTCTCAACAGGCCGCGGCAGCGACTCAGAGTCCGACGGCCCCCCCCACAGGAAGATGCCAGACGTGCGTAAGGACGACATGTCGACACGGCGGACGTCCATCAGCGAGCCGCGCACCGCCATGCCCTTCAACCAGTACCTGCCCAACAAGAGCAACCAGAGCGGATACGTGCCAACGCCCCTCCGCAAGAAAAAGAACGACAAAGAGGACGGGGCGCGCAAGAGCTGGAGTACTGCGAGCTCACCTGTAGGGGGAGACAGACCGTTCAGGTGAGTCTAGCTGCTGCAGTGATTAGAAGTGTACATAAACAGTCATTTATTTGGGTTACTTTAGATATTTAAATACAAGTCAAGTCTAATAAAGTAAGTATATACACCAAGTGTATTTTTTTAATCTGATGGATAAAGTATTATTGGCATTTCTGCTATAAGAATTGTTTTGACATAAGGGCTTTAATAACTCAAGGCCCTTGTTATTTAAAGAGTTGTGCAGAGCATTTTACATTAGGTTTGTTCCTGGATGCTGCCGTTGGAGAGCAAGGGCTGTGTAATTGCATAATGAAATGATCATTTGGTGACGGGTCCAACCATTACCTTGTTATAGCTTGAAATTGATTTGCTGCAGAGAACAAATGTTTTAATTAAAAGTTGTCACAAATGTTCTGGTAGAGAATTCCACACATTTCTGCTTGCAGCTGAAAATGCAGTTTCAAGCAGACAATGCCTCCTACATGTTTTGTGAGTTCACATTAGCGTGAGAAATTCTAACAAAGAAATTGAATATGTTCGAACGTTGACCATGAAGTTATTTATTTTAGAATGTGGGACATTTGTCTTCAAGGTATTGATATAACTGATCATAAAGAAAGAATGTAGATCTTGGGAAAAAAAGCATGTTTATTATTTACAAAGTCTAATACCCACCAACATCTTTTTGAGTCTGTGTTGTTTATTGATATTGCAAGAGAAGGTCTCACATTGGAGTGGCTAATGGAAGCCAGATGTGCTTTTTCATTGGCTCTGATTGAAGTGAAAGTGTGAAATCTACTACATAGAAGAAGTAGAGATTAAAATCTGACGGTCTTATTGGCATGTATTGGTTGGCATGTGTAGAGCGCTGGGATTTCATTTCTATTCTTTTAATCATTTGCCAGTGGCTCTCACTGTACAAGTGTCACATTTCTGCTGGTTTAGTGTTTTAGTGTATGTGCTTTGATCTGTTTCAGTATCAGTGTGTTTGGTGTTAGTGGTCTGTGTGTAGTGGTAGAGTGTCAGATTTTGACTCAAAGTCGTTTTTGAAGGAAAACATTTGGAGGTTTGGACGTATGTAGTTGTAGCATAAGATCAAAGATAATCAATTAAAAGCTCCTAATTTGTCTTAACCACTTGTTAANCATGCAAAGACAGTGTTCAATTGAGCGAAATGAGGAATGGCTAAAATGCATATATAAGACATATTTATACTTTTTATTTTTCAAAATACCAAACAGATCCTGCATTTTAGCCATTCCTCATTTCGCTCAATTGAACACTGTCTTTGCATGGGCTGATTCTGTGAGAACAGCACCATCTACAGGCCTGGCATATGTACTACAGCGTCTCCAGCGCTTTCGAACGGCAATGTCCGTGGCTGTCTCCTCCTGATTGGTGGAGTTGGCCCAATAGCCTTAGCGCTACTTCTGTGACGTCATAGAAGTGTTCAAATCTGGATCAGTCTGTATCAGATCCGTTACAGCCCCTTTTTAAGAGATTTGGGTATGGAGGAAAATAGAGAGGGTTGTGTTTTCTGACACTTGGTGAGTTCCCTGGAACACCGGGGACACATATTCATGTAGAAAAGACGTACAAAAGTGCATTTTGCATGATAGGTCACCTTTAAATGTTAATTGTTATTTGGTGCATGCGCATTTTCAACCTCGCTGTGAATTAATCTTATCGTTGGCTGTGAGTCCTGAGGCATGTGATGTGAGGGCAGTAGTATGAGAACATTTTACAGAATGTGGGCAGGACTTTAGAAAACCCCTGAAAAGCATAACTGTTTATTGTTTCAAGCGGTCTTTTACTAGTGACGGGTGTTGCCCTCCAAACATTGTACAAGAGGGGGACAGGTTTTACTACAGCAGCACCAGAAGCAAAAAGTGTCTCGCTGTATCCATCTACTGTAACCAAAGAGCATCTGCAATATGGAATCTCTTTCAGGGATCAAATTAAACTCTTCTCCTTGTCCCCTAATTACTGTCAGAGTGAAGTCACTTTACAGAGCTGAATAGTGAAAGGGCTTTGTCTGAAAAAGGTCAGAGCAGGAAAAAACCTGTCTGGGTCGAGTTCGTGTGCATGTTCATAAGTGGATGCTCTTGTTCTGGGAGTACTTGGAGCACCCTGGGATGGGATGATTACTGCATTGTTTCCCCGTTCTCACTTCTCCAGTGTGTGCCTCCTGGCTCTGATCAGATCACTCATCGTATGAAACCCCTCAATCACAGCTTGGGCCTGAAAATATGGATCTTGACATACTAACCTCTCTATAACCTATTCCCATATAATACCACAAAGACCTTCTGAAAGCAGATATGAAAAAGCCTAAAGGAAATTCCAACTTCAGGATGTCTGTGGTGTTCAAAGCATTTCAGAAGTCACTTAAATATACGCTGTCATTCAGTTATTTTAGGTAAGCCTTGCCACCCCTTTATATCTCTAATTTTCTGAATTACAGATCACGGACGTATAGCAATACGAGAGAGGCACACTTTAACTTCCAGAAGGTTTTTAGTTAGACTGCTCGTGACAGAAACTAAGACTTTGGAGCTTCCTTTGCACTTCCCTCCAAACAAAAACAGTCTGACAGGAAGCTCTGCCTCACTCTGTTTTTTTCCCACAGTTCAGGGATGAAACGTACATTAAGCTTTGTGACGACTTCTGTAAAATGTTATAGGCTGTCATTAAAATTTAAAAAGGGTCAAATTCAAATAAAGCGTCGCAATGAAAAGCTTTCTATGACGGCATATGGTCGGCTTGGCATTTTAAATGCAGCCAAAATCTATTTTTGATTCCATTTTTGATTTCAGTACAAAGCACAAAACTAATTGCCGGCTGTTTGCAGTTCCTGCATGTCTTGGCTCAACTTATTATGGGAAATTGTGAGGCTCCAATTTTGAATGCATTTAATTAGATAAGCCAATATCGTTATACAAGCAAAACACATACTATACACTTCTATAGACACTGTATAACAATGTGCACCTGGATGCAGATCTCCTATCCTTATGGACAATGCATTGAGGCATTTAAAGCAATGTCCCCACAGCCTCTAACAGTCAAGATAAATAGGTGTAATAAGGCAACATACTGTATTTCCAAGATGAGGAACTATCCCTATATGGAATGTGTCAGATCAAAAAAAGAGCAATAGATCCTGAAAACACATTTCTTTGCCTCACTATTATACTAGCATGATTCACCTCTTCCTCTCACTCGTGCCATAAACACTATGAGGCTGCACGGCTGGACACGCACCATGGCGGAGGCATTCATTCGAATTCGCGCTCACACACACAATTACTTTTCAATGGAAGAAACGTACAGGTGTGGTAGGCAGTTCGCTTCTTAAAGTAAAAAAAACTAAGAGCATCTAAAGATCAGTTCCTCTTATCAACACTCCCGAATGTATTGTTCAGTTTTAACAGTACTGTATTTGATGCTCAAACTAAACTTAAAGCATCTTAAATTCATTCGTCTCAAGGACACAAACCTCTCGCCACTTTTGTTTTCTCAGCTACATAACATGTAAAAGTGAAAAGTGTTTCCCTGGGGGCAATTTGATTAAATGTCTTCTGTTTTGCGTCACCTGACACAACTGTCATGTTGGTGGAGCCAGTGTTAACATTACATCACTGAAATGTGTTTGAAACCAAAGCAGATGTCACAGCAGTGAGGCCCATACTGTACATGTTTTTTCCATCGCAGATTGACATTAGATATGTGTGATTGGAAAACTGATACTGACACACAGAGAAAAAAATGAAGATTCATGGTGAGCATGTAGCTTTTTCTGGATTAATTCAATGGTAACTGACATCATAAAAATAAAAAACTTGTACTAAATGTCCTCCCTTTCACAAGACGTATAGCTGATTGAAACAATGGCCAGAGCTTAGCTTGCAAACAGGCTTTGCACTGAGATCATTCCCTTTATTATCTCAAATAGCCTTTGACTAGCACTGGGTGTAGTCCTGCGAAAACACTGCGAGGAACACAACGTGCTTTATTACAACACCACTGCAAGGACAATGCACCTCATTTATCTATATGCTATATCAGAACACAACAATTCACCCAAACAAAGCAGCCAGTACTGAATCAGATTCCTTCCACCAGACATAATGTGGTGGCTAACACTTCACAATGGCTTTTGATTTAAGTTACAACTATTTAGGAAGGGTGGTCTTTCTAGACAAACGTCCACCATCATTTCAAACAAGTGTGCCGTGTGAATATGAAGAGTGTAAGAGGTATTTAGAGTAGACTTTTTTTGGTGTCTTCCCGTTTCGGCCCTTCCCAATTTGCCCCTAAATTATTCCAATTTTTACCCGTTCCATTTCAGGGCGAGATGGGAAAAGGACAAAATGGGAATAAGGGGCGAAATGGGAAGAGGTCGAAATGGGAATAAGGGGCGAAACAGGAAGGGGGCGAAATGGGAACAAGGGGCGAAACAGGAAGGGGCGGAACGGGGCAGGAAGGGAGCGAAATGGGGCAGGGGCGAAATGGGAATAAGGGGCGAAACAGGAAGGGGGCGAAATGGGAAAGGGGCGAAATGGGGTAGGGGCCAAATGGGAAAGGGGAAAAATGGGAAAGGGGCAAAATGGGAAAAGGACACAATGGGAATAAGGGGCGAAACAGGAAGGGGGCGAAATGGGAAAGGGGCGAAATGGGGTAGGGGCGAAATGGGAAAGGGGAAAAATGGGAAAGGGGCAAAATGGGAATGAACCCTTTTTCTCCCCTACCATCGCTGCTGCCGCGGGGGACCAGGACATCCGGCGACGGGGTCTGTCGTGAGCGTGAGCCGAAGGAGTCCAGACTGTCGAAGGAGTCCTCGCGGCCGTGGCGGGGCGGGGAGAGGGAGTCGCTGCGCTCAGAGTCCCAGCAGTCGATGTAGCCGCTGTCCCGGATGCTGCGTATCGGGCTCTCTGCCTCCTCCGCCTCCTGAACATTTAGAAACATGCCCATGTTATACAAATGCACAAATTAGCTTAAAAAAGCATTAATAGAAATAAAGGTAAACAACATTTTTTGCAAAGTACATTGAGTAACTTCTGCTGTGGGAGGAGATTTTAGTTTTCACCAGCTCAAACAACATCTGAAGAATGTGTTTGTGTCCCAAATATCTCATATCACTAAGTCCTAGATCCACTTTGTTTTTGTCCCTCTTTCTCTTTGTTCTGCTGAGATCCCTCTCCATCACTCTCTCTCCACCTCAGTGACCTCTCCCTTTGTCTGTCTACACTTGAAACATGTCTATCTATCTTTCAGACTCCATGTTATGTTTTCAGCTCAGCTGTACTGACGCAGAATTTTGTCTCACTTATCTCTTTGTTAAACAGACATTCAACTTTCTTTCATGTAGCAATGCCATTGTCCAGTAAAGCTGCATAGAAAACATTGATCAAGGTTCATTAGCCCATCAATAGCCCATCTTTATGCAAATTGTTGCATATACCTGTCCGGCAGTGGCTCAGTCAGTAGGGGCTTGGACTGGGAGCTGTAGGGTCGCCGGTTCAAGTCCCCGACCAGACCTAAATGGAGTGTGGACTACTACTTGGAGAGGTCCCAGTTCACCTCCTGCCCTGCCGTGGTGCCCTTGAGCAAGGCACTGGACACCCCCCTCACTCCAATTAATCCCCGGGCGCTGTGCAATAGCTGCCCACTGCTCCTAGTACTAGACTCCTGGTACTAGGATGGGTTAAAAGCAGAGAACACATTTCAATGTGTGCTCTGCATGTGTGACCATTAACGAGGGTTTCATCCCTTCCTATTCTATTCTAACCTAAATAATGCTATTAAAGCTTAAAAGGTTTGTTTACTCAAATTCATTTAAATAAGCAGATAACCACTTGAATAAATGGAGCAGAGAAAAGTGCAGCTGGTTCCACAATTCACCTGCTTCTTGCATTACAATAATCATTTTCTTTTTTAAATAAAAAGGTCTAGTTTCCATTGCATAAGTATAAGAAAAAAGAGCGCATTCAGTTTATAATGTGTGAACCTGATGAGTGTTCCTTGATTTTCAGATCTCATTTTATTATTAATCTCTTTTTGGTTTCATAGAAACGTGGCTTTGTTTTGGTCAGAAGCAACATCTGGGGAAGTTATTCTGCTGAGTTGGCAGAGATTTCTCAGTTTTAGTAGCAAACGTCATATTGTGGAAAAAAATGGTACGGGGGTGACATCATGTTTATGAGCGGGTGTCATAGTGTGTCCGTATGTGCGTTTTTGGATCCTATTAATGCTAACGTTGTCCCTTTGGGTCAGTAAAGGAGTGGAAGCAGATTGAGATAACTCACACAAGAGCCATGACAGAGGTCATCCCTAGACCATGGGTGGGGGATGTTTTAAACTCCCTGAGATGATTTCTTAGAAATATATTTTCCATTTAGAAAACACACCAACATTTAACGCACCCCAAAAGGAGTTGTCCAGTATAATTTGTGCGTTTGGTCGGGACATTAGGTCTGTGAATTTTTGCAGCACAGCCTCTCTTTACTTATACCAGCTACAGTTGCTAGAAGATTTGTAATCCACCACCAGCATCAACGACTGACTGAATGATACCTGTAGTTTATATTCAGATGTTCAGGATATTGTTGAGGCTAAAAATGACTAAACATGACTGAGCAAACCTTTCGCATCTGTGACAGCAGGCCGTCAAACTCTTTCAGGTCCAGCGTGGGACCGTTGTAGGAGGTACAGCCGTTGGCAGCACGACCCAACCAGTAGATGGTGATCAGAACCTACAAAGAAAAAAAAACATGCAGATATCATAGTGAGATCAGGGTTTCCCACACATAGACTTTACATCCATTTGTGTTATCCGTCCGCGACCACGACGCCATCTGCGATCGATTAACTAGTGGACAAAGATCCCTCGCTCTACCCCTCCGGTACCTGTTCGCTCTGCCATCAAGTGAACGGACTGCTTTATGCACTCCGCAGTAACACCGTAGTTCATGAGCGTGCTCCACTAGCCCCCCCCCCTGTTCTCGGCTACCACCACAAGTATATTTCAGATCTGTGGGAAACACTGGAGATACTCTGTGAAGAACACAATGTGCAAAGCATTCTATGCTACTGAAATCATGACCCGTCAGACGTTATGTTATGCATGAAAGAGAAAGATAGAAATGTTTAGGCTTGTTGTGAAAACTACAGCACCCCAGGTGAACCAGTGGTCCTGAGGACAAACTTAAATCCAAGTTCCTCAGTGCAGGCTCAAGTCTTCATAATGACACAATGGAGTTATTTAAGATAAATATAGCGAGTTGGTCGGAAGCTTGAGATAGCTGTTCCAATCCAAAACAACGGTGCATAAATTAAAATAAATTAAATTGCATAAAATGTGGTTATTTTTAAAATATATTGTGTAAAACAGTCAAGTGGACGTTCAGTCCTTGCTCTAGCAATATAGGCCAACATGTAACATTTGTTCTAGTCTTCTTAATGTTATATGTTACAATGCAGGTTGTCTGGTCATTTGAATCCATTTCATTCCAAAGATGTTAGACAAGACTGAGCCATTGTTCTGACACTGAAACGAGTCCCAGGCACATTTCCTGCTAAAATTAAACAGCCCTTCACGAGTCACAGTGATTAATATTTGCATGTTAGCTTCCTTAGCCCTGAGTGCAAACACTTCCAGGTCAATCTCACCACCTTCCAACACAGAAAGCCTGTAAACTCAGATCTGAAGGAGGCTGCAGTTCCTTTGCTCTGACTCTTTCTTGTAAGCTAAAGTAATGCTAAATGTGAATCTTGCTGCATTCGGTGTAACACTCTTTGGAGTCAGCTGAAACACTTAAATGCAGAATGTACAGATTCGCTGTGCCCACAGGGAGATCACACAGCGCTGCACCTTTAGCACCCAGCTATATTTACTGTGTCCATGTCAACCGGCACTCCACAGGGATTGCTTTGATAGGGGAACTCAGCATGGCACACTGTCAGCGTACAAACTCTCTGCCGCCATTCAAACAGCCTTGGAAGAAGAGTAAATGAGCTGGCCTGCTGTGATTATGTGATGTTTCCTGAAGGGAAATGCATTGTTTTAACCACAGCATGAGCCATACTAGTAGGGATGAGGCTATAGAAAAATGACTGCTGATTGTGGAGTGTATTGCAGTCTTTCACGATGCGTTTATTACACATGTTGTCATCGCAATAACGATAAAATAAACAATATATTGTAAAGCTCTAAGCCTCTGTATTGCATAACTGAGTCGTTCTGTAGGCTTGGAGCGGGGAGCTTGTTGGAGCAAAGAGCATCAAAACAAATGCATAATTAACAACTTAAGAGAGCAGAGGGATCAGCACAGGCAGACACTCAAGGCTGATGTCATGTCAAAGTGGTATTGAACCATCCCTAAGATGCAACACTACAGGAGGGAGAGGTTTAATGTTTTATCACTTCAAAATCAGGGACACCAGATCACAGGGAATCAGACCCAAACTATTTCCAAAGTAGATCTAAACTACATAGCATTCTACTTCTATGAGTTACATGCACATCATATTTTATCTTGCTACCACACAGAAAACCACTCATCTACAAGAACTGTGCTCAAGCAACACTTCACCTTCTTTCTCTCTCTCTCTCTCTTATTTTATTGCATCTTTGTCACCACGAGTATAATGATAATATCTGTGCCAGCTCCCATAAAAGTAGGTCGGCTCCAGAGCTATTCCAGCCACAGACCAGTACGCTTCAAACTGATCCACAATGATCCCAATAGCATCAACTCAACGGAAATATGCCACCACAGCCCTGCATGATTTAAACAAGCAACACTTAACCTAAAAACAAACAACTGTACCAAAACCAACACTTGGATACAAGCACTAAGATACAATAGTTCAAAGAAAACATGTCAGGGGAGTTTGAGTGATAGACAATTGTAAAGAGGGCCTGACAGTGAGGTCATGCACACATCACACACTTCAGTTTCAGCAACAGTCTCACCTGGCAGATGTGAAAAAACCTGTCAAAGAGGTTTTGTCGAAAAAACAACAATCCCCTCTTTGTTCCATGTGCATTGGTGATGCATACACAAGGGCATGACATAACCTCAAATGCACCTTCAATGTAAACACCAACACACAAGTGCATGCATGCTGCAATCCACAGACCTGTGTACATACATACTCCAAACTAGTCATGCACTACCAGCACTTTCTTGTTCACACCTGCACTGCTCCACAGTCATCTTGTGACTTCAGCAATATTTCACGCATCCATGCAAATGCCCTATTTTTACTTCGTCCAATCTGCTAAACAACACCTTCATCGCTAAATCAGCATATTGTTCTGAATGCAGGTCCTTCACCTCTCAATATGTGACGTGCTGCAGTACCAGCTGCTATGTCCTCAGTGTGAGATCCATAGTGTGTGAGCGGGTCGTGGCTGAAGCCTGCAGCTGCTGGGAGTTTGTGGGCCGTTTGCTATCGCTGCTAATGTGGCTGAGAGTCCCTGTGTGTCGTCAGCTAAATGAGCTAGCAGGCCAGCTCTGCAGCTCCACACATTAACTGTACAGTGCACAGCAGCATCACAAAGAGAGGGGGGGGAGAGAGGAGGAGGGAGGAGGGGGGAGAAAAGTGCTTTGACTGCAGAGTGGGCAGGGCTAGAAGTATATGTGTTCTACTTAAAGCAGCATCATGAGAAGGGACAAGATTGTGTTGAAGTCCATTTGAACCTAAAAACACTTGGAGCATAACAAGTGATGATTAGAAAGGAAGATGGAACAACAGAGAGAAAGATACATTAAAGAGAGAGAAAAATAACTAACCTGGATCCAATTAACAAAAAAGAAAGCTGTTTTAAAATACTTAAAGACACAAAATAGTAAATAATGGATACATCTGAAGTTCTGGAGTACGTAGAGTAAGAACAAACAGAAATGATAGACAAAGATCAAAAGGATGGACAACCAACTAAAAGTTAGAATAGATGGAAAGTAAAGTAAAACAGAAAGAACAGATACAAGTAGAAAAGCTTTACACGGATAAGTCAGACTAGCAACTATAAGAGCAGCTCATACTTAAGTGGAAAGTTACACTACTACTGTAAAGTCAGCATAACTGGAACTGACATGATAAAAGCAGAGTGACAACCACAGCACAAACAGAAACACTGGACCATAATAACAGTTTACAACCAAACGTACATTTAGCACACAAACAAATGATCCCGCTATAATGCAGAAGTATCACTTACATTCTTGACTTTTCGGCTGCAGTCACTTCCCCTGGGAGATAGAGAAAGAGACGGAGTGAGACACGAGAGCAACTTTAAATATTTACTGAGATATCTTGCATAAATATAACAGCTTTTAAAGCAACCAAACTCCCACATAGTTGTGCAAACAGTAGCAAAACCATTGAATAAACAGCATGGAGGAATCTGCAGTGAACCCACAACACTGCCAGATCTCTGGATCCAGCTTGTTGTTCGGTGCTGTATTTATTTGATATGTCCAGCAGTATTAGTCACTGGCTGCCGTTTTGACTTCAGCTAACGGTGTGTACTGTAAGAAGGCAAGGGCTCCCTTAGATCGAACATTTTGCAGCAGTGGTCATCATTCCAAAAGACAAATTCTTCTGCAACGGTACGTCTGGGGAGATGGATGTCAGAGTGGCGGCCACATGTTTTGACTGCCAAGTGAACTCTGGGAGTTGCAGAGCAGAAACACCCACAGCAGTGGACACTTAGCGCCATGGATGCTGCCAAAATGAAAAGATGTGGATGACCACTTGAAGCTATAAATGGGAAGAGGAATGAAGCAGTTGTAAAATAGACCCTGATACACACTAGTGTCGTGGAAACAGACTTCTATCTAGACTAAGATATAGGGAGACACATCACCAGAGATATAGACTCAGACATTCCTTTTCCTTAAAACTTACAACACACAAAATCAAGTAAATTACATTCTGTGTTTAATATGCCCAGGTCAATGTCACTTTTACAGGAGAAAAATGCATTCCTAGAAGTGATACTGGTCTAAAGAAAAGAGCCATGGGTTTGTGGGGGAGTTGTTTCTCTTTTTGGTGCTAGTTCCAGCTTTTTGCAGGATTTGGTCAGATGGAAAATATGTTGGTTTTAACGATTCCCTCATTAGCCAACAAATCATTTTTTTCCAATATTAAGTCGAATTGCTTGAATAGTAGACCAACCTGTATAGGAAACATCCCATCTATGGAGCACATTGCTATGTATGGGTGAAGGGTTGCTTGAATGGAATATTGATCTCATTATAGGGATATATATGTTACCTTTTATACTTTACGTAAGCAGTAACTAACACGCCTCCTAACAGAGCTGAATTGACCAATGAACTTGTTTGACCGTAAGTACACATGACACCATTGATCAAGATTTAAGAGCTACGTATACGATTACCCATAACACCCTTCTCTGTGTAGACGATACTGTGGATATTGCTTTGTAGCTTCAGGGGATCCTAGTTAACACACACACATATCTTTGAAAATACATGATCTTATGAAGGAGGGAACCTGTATGGCCCGGTATGAAAAACAAAACAGATCTTTAACTATAAAGCCAATTTAGATTTTGTTACGCGATTGCATAATATTGTGGTCGGACAAAAGACATAACAGCAGCAGCCGTGAAATGTAAGACGCATTCATACAAAGGAGAAAATAATGAGCATGTGTTTCTTTGCCTGAGTTTTGAATTCACAGTACATTATGACACTGCTGATAACTAGTTTCCAAGGCCTGAGGGTCACAACGCTCACATCTCTCGACACATAAGTGACACCTAAATTGCAGTTGCATGGGTTTTCCATGACCTGAGAAAGAGAGGGTTGAAAGAGGTGGAGGGGAGCAAGGTGAAAGTAGCTGGAGGGAAGGATCTGTAAACTCTTTCTGTCAGCCGACTAAATAAACACAGAGACAGGTTGCTTTTCTCTGCGTTACCTTGTAGAAAGAAACCTGAAGGACAGATTCCACAAGGTATTAGATCATCATATTATACTGTTTCCTTTTTTCTGTCTCTCTCTTTGTGTCTGAGTCAGTTTCCATGATTTCATTCCAACAGTATGATTGATAACAGAATAATAAAATGTCGAAGATGTACAGTTTCAAAACCACTTTGTTATCAGCACAATAGAGAGGCGAAGTCCCTCCCTTTCCGGGGGACCTCCATGGGACCTTATTTCGGAAAGATTATGTATTGAAGTCAATGGAGAGAGAAAAAGATTATCTTTCGATCCCGTTTGAATTGTGCCACGAATTACACATATGATGTTTGTCAATTTAAAAGATAATTTTGCAAGTCAAATGTTTTTAAATATGTGGTAAACTGTGAAGTAACACTTTCTTTGTGTGAAACCGCTCAATGAGCTACATCTCCCGTCTCCCACCACACACCAAGATGGCCGTCGCGTTAGTACATTTCACTTTCTTTCTATCAGAATGAGGCGGAAAGTATTAAACAAGGTGAACATTCTAGCATGCGGGATTCTGGGATTTGTAGTCTTTCTAGTTGCGTATTTTTCATAGTCTTATATTTCAACAGTTTTACGACAAACTGTGACTTTTTTTACATGGAAATATTTTTTTAAGATTGGCAAACATCATATGTGTAATTCGTGGCACAATTCAAACGGGATTGAAAGATAATCTTTCTCTCTCCATTGACTTCAATACATAATTTTTCCGAAATAAGGTCCCATAGGTTGGAAGTAGATGGGCGGGACTTCGCCTCTATGATTTTGGAGATAACATATAAAACATATGGATTATTTTCTAAATCTGTTTTAATGAACTCATCTTAAGAACTATAAGTATTTGATATTTTATGTGAGTTAATTGTCTAAACAGGAAAATATTATGACAACCAAACAAGGAAACTGTGTACATTTTGAAAAGATTATAATGAATTGATAACACTTTTACCCAATAAATGGAGAGATTTTTATGAAGAAAGACGATTTATATTTTGCTGAAGATGAATGAAATCCTGGAGGGCGTGTTTTCGCGTTTTCGTGAATTCCTGATTTGCCTGATTTTTTCTACCAAACTGACAGAAAAAAACATTAAATTGTTTATATTTTTCGTAGTATTTCAAAAGATTGCGTAACATATGTTGGACATCTGAATGGAAACACAGCTTCTCTCTCCTCTCCTATCGTGGACTGCCTGGCAAAAGGTCACTTATCTTGGAAATCGAGCTGCTTCATACGGAGGAAGAGGAGATATTTCAGGCCTGAGCTCAAAGTGTATCATAACCTGTCCGTCTTTACGCCACGCTGTCAAACGCCGTTTGCTAGATGAGTAAACACCTGTCCAGAAACTCAGGGTGAGAAGCACCGTAACTGCTTCCTGTCATGTGTACAAGCTGCAGGAAAATAGCATCCTGTACGACAGAGGGTTACATAACAACTGGAAACAGCTGTAAAACAATGACTCTGTACCAACTATAGATTACCCAAATGTTCCTGATGATATCTTTAGAGTGAGTGAATATTGGATCAGTTTGTAAAATATCTTTTAAGAGAGAGAGAGAGACGATCCATTTAAGCTAAGATTAAGCTTTGCTTCTTGTTTTTTTATCGTTGTATTATCCGTTTGTACCGATCAGATCGGGCCTGTCAATTTCACAAAAGTTCAAACTACTCATTGACACAAAATGATATCAAATCATATAATTACTTATGATATGTATAGGCGCTACAGGCCGTGTCTTGGTCTCAAGTGGTGGTATTCCTGAGTGTGGTAGCAGCTGTAGTTAGCTTGCTTACAACATCCAACAAATGATTCTACATGTTTCTGATTACAAGACACTTTTTTGACATTATCGCCTTAATCAATGTCCTTGCACTTAATGTAGCATGAAGAAGCATCTCCCCTTCTCTGTTGTTTATTACTGTTGCGCCAAACAGTTATATAAACAAAGATATAAGCATCAGTGTTTCTTGAACTAGACCTCAATCCGTCCCCTGCGTTGATTGGTTGGACATTGGATAGCGTCTTTACGCATCAGTCCGATTGATTTTGCACTATTCAGAGTTCAATATGCAACTGTAAATACATCTCGCCCTGTTCCTCATATTAAAGAACAGGGAGTGATCCTGAGTGACTGCGGACAACAGATTTTAGGATAGACAATGTCATTTGTAAATGTATCCTAACAAATTGCATATTAGTTTAGATTCATCGGAAATTGACAGGCATCACACACACACACACACACACACACACACACACACACACACACACACACACACACACACACACACACACACACACACACACACACACACACACAGAGAGAGATAAATACACTGCTGACAGAGACAGAAGGCAAACGGAGGTCCGGTCTGAACTCAAACGCACCAGTGACTCACACTCTCCCTCTCAGATTCACTTACAAATCAGTTATATTAGAAAATACACTTCTGGAATCATCACAATATAGCTTTAAAACAAATGAGGTCACGCTCATTAAGCATGGACTTTTGACTTCCCTAATACTCACTTTATCCATGAAATAAACCCGATGCTACTATTACATTTTAAACCAGGTCTTAACTCTTAAGAGACCAGATGAACAATCTGTCCTATTATTTTAAAAATGTCCTCATTCTTTAGTTGTAAAATGGAAATGGGTCCCCACAAAGATAGAAGTAGAGCTAAAGCCAGGATCCTCTTTATTTACCACTCATTAAGTGTCTCTATTCGAAACCGCTCTCTCAAGGTCTCTCTGACCAGCAAACACGCACAGACACATGAGCACACAGCCGAAGTGAAGAAGAACTGTATTTACAAGAGATGACAAGAATGATATTTGACTGATTTGAAGAGTATTGACTCATCCGTTTCCCCCTGCGTACAAGCATGCAAACACACACACCGCAAACACACACGATGACACAACATGAAAATAAGGATACCTGCTCGACAGAAACGTGACACCAGCAGGTTTCGTGGACGGATTTGGTCCTTTCAGATTACTCCAACTTTCCCTTTTCACCTTCTGCCTCCTCCAAGTGGCTTCCTTTTTCTATCTTCCCTCCTTCACCTGCTGTCCCTCGCTGATTCCTTCCCTCTCTTCTTCCTCACCTTTCACTCTCCCCCCATCTTCTCAGCTGTCCTCCTCTCTCCCCTCTGCTCTCAGACTAACTCTTTGTTGGATGCAACCTGAGCCGAGCTCTCCTCTCCTGTTCCCAGGTTCTCTCTCTCTTTGTTTCTATGCCTCTCTTTCCTGCAGAGGGCCACAGCCAAAGCCCTTCTCTCTCTATCTACCCCCCCCCCTCCCCT